AGACGAGACAAAAACATTAAAACCCATTATAAACGAGGCATTTGTTGCATCCAGTGGGGACATAATTATGGATTATAATGACTTATACTGTCTTTTTATGCGTTGCGTTGCATCGCGCCGCGTAAACATAAAACCATGTCTGCATTTTTGATCGCAGAAATGACAAACAACAAGTGCTACTCTACACTGCCCAAAAAACTTGCGTTTGAATCGTCAGTGGCAAATTCTTTAAATATAAAAAACGCACTTACAGTCTGTGAGTCAGAACAAGAGTGAGCAGATCACTGGTCGGTTAGCACACTAGATCTGCACTCATTCTGCAGACCACCGGCACAGAATAAAAACCACCAAACCCAGGGAAGAGCCGGTTTCCACAGCCAGAGCTGGAGGAACCGATGTCACCCTACACCATTACTAAAGACCATCACAAGACACCAAGGTTATTGGCTTCTCTTCTAAAAATTGCATCTGGTATACTAACAGAAAAGTACTTGAAAGAAGTCGCTTATGCTCAACAATGCTGCATTTATTTGATCAAAAATAAATGAAATAGTATTACAATATTGAAGAACTGTTTTCTTCTTTTAAAATGTAATTTACTCCTGTGATCTGAATTCTCAGCATCATTACTCCAGTTTTCAGTGTCGCTTGATCCTACAGAAATAATTTTAATATGCTAATTTGGTGCTTATTATCAATGTTGAAAAACGTTTTTGCTGCTTAATATTTTTATGGAAACAGTGGTAACCGCCATATTGAAAGCATCTTTGTTTTGTTTTTTTTAAGAGTGCCGGTAGATGTTGTTACAGTGCTACCGTTCAAAAGTTTCAGGTCAGTAAGATTTCTTTTTTGTAAAGAAATTAATACTTTTATTTAGCAAAGACGCAATAAATGGATCAAAAGTCACAGTAAAGACATTTATAATTTAACAAAAGTTATTATAGATGTTTTATTCATCAGGGAATGCTGAAAAAATGGATCACAGTTTCCACAAAAACATTAAGCGGTACAACTGTTTTCAATATTTCAGGACATTACAATGATTTCTGGAGGATGACAGGATACTGGAGGTGACACTGAAGACTGAAGTAATGATGTTGAAAATTAAGTTTTGCCATCACAGAAATAAATTCCGTATAAAAATATGGTAAAATAGAGATTATTTAAAATTATAATTTTAAAATTAGTTATTTTAAATTGAAATAATATTTCACAATATTACTGTTTTTACTGTAATTGTAATCAAATAAATGCAGCCTTGGTGAGCATTAGAGACGTCTTTCAAAAACATTATAAAATCTCACCAACCTTAAACTTTTGATCTCATTTGCTGTTTGTTAAATTGTATTACATATTATTCATTATACTGACCACTGGCCACTCTACTCTATAGATATTAATATTACACTGGCCACTCATATGACCATGTACCATGGTATATATCAAAATACCACAGTATTACCATCTAATCCCATCACTGTATCATGGTACCTCCACAGTACCTCATTTGATCTTTCATTTCAAATATGTGCCATATTTAATCAGACCGGGCAAACATGGAGCTTCTCATCTGGACCTGAGAACCAGGACTGATATTGATCTGATTAAAGTTGTGGAAGATCAAGTGAGTATTACATTCCCTTTGATTCAGTGCAGTAATCCATCAGCCAGTCAGAGATAGCCGATTCGCTAAGCGCTCCTAACGAAGTTTAGATTAGTATTTAGATAGAGGTACAGTAGTTGTTTGTTAATGGGAACCAAGGAGCTCTAGTTCTAGACTAGAGAAATATGGCCACGTTCACACAGCAGCAGAATACGGTTGTCAGTCCTGTTTTTGAGTCCTTAATATGGTTACGTTCACACACAGTTCGGTTATTTACGGGCGTGACAACCGCATTCTGTAACCGAACTCACAACCGTACATTTTCAGGACTCACAACTGCATTCTCTGAACACACGCGCTGGGCCGGGACTTGACAACTAGTTGTCTGTCACATCATACAGTGCGAGAGAGAGCCAGTGTGTTTTCACGTGTTTTCGGTAACAGTGACGGAGAACTGAGCTGCGTGTCATCTGAACGTTTTAGAGCTCGTCAGTTATGGGATGATATTAGACTCAAAATGATTAATAGATGCATGCACAATTATCCATGTACTGCATAAATTGTATACATGTATCTTACTAACCACAAACAAATGCCTTTCAATTCGAGATTAAATGATTGTGCAGCGATTTGTACAAATACAGACATGTTTGTAAATAAAAATGTTCTGTTCTGCATTAATATATCATAAATTGCTCATGCAACAAGGAATCTGTGCATATGAGGATCAGGTGACACGCGTGCATTAATTGACTTCTAGTTCGAGTCGATCTTGTTCGGTTCATTTGGCTTTTGAGACTTAATTTTCTTAGTTTACAGCACTTCACGCCCCCAAGACTCACACCTGTAAAGAGAATGCGGTTGACAGTGTGAACGTAGCCTATGTGCAGAGAATTGCTAAAAATCTATTACTATTCTTTCTAAATCTTTTAGTGGCAAAAGCAATTGAAAATAATGATGGAAGAGATTGAAAAGACAGCACTGGAAAAAAAGAAAGCAAGAGGAAGAGGAAAAGATCATGAAGAAACGCATGGGAAAGTGAAAAAAAAAA